GTTATTTCGAATCCCTTCACTCAAACTGCTTGCCAACGTATTCGAGAAAATTCTCCGGATGTGATTATGGCAGATGTATGTGGCCAACCAATCAGCTTGCCTCAAATCACAAGACGGAAAATAGTTCAAATATATCGTTCATTGTCTTCAGGACGTAAGCCTGGTCATGCTTTCCCATTCATTCTCTGGGTTTTTTTAATTATTAAAAAAATTAAACCAGAAAATGACAATAAATTTTAATTGTGTTTGCTGTGTGTTGTTACATTTTTTTGTATTCCTTGCTGGCTGTGTCACTAGGATAGCATAGGTTTCTCAGTCTAGGCCACCTTGTTCTCCTTTTTTTTTAAGCCCAACTACACTGCTGCCTGATGATTTCCACATACGACCATGATAGATTTCTGTCCTTGACGAGCATTAAAAACTCTAAGTAACACTGTCCGTACGGGAATTTGCGGAAAATTCTCGAAAACTTGCGGAAGAAATTGCGACAGAAGACAACAAAAAAGCGGCGAAAAGATCTGGAACTTGCCAGGAATTCATGGAAATATTTGAAGAAAATTGTGGATTTGGGCCAAATCACAATTTGTTACATCGTTAGAATCATTATTTGCACAGTATATCTACTCGGGAGTAGTACGAGTCGTACTATGCAAATAACCTACAGGATCATTAAAAGCACAAGCGCATAAAAATGTGAGATATAGTGCAGAAAACAACAAAACGCAGGAAATCCCGGATTTCGCTGAAAATCGCTGGTTTGGGCGAAAATCACAAAATTTGTTGCATCCGTGGAATCGCGATTTCCTGGAGGGACAGGTAACAGATTCCGAGTGATTTCTTGCGTTCCTCTATCTTATCCGCTACTGTTGCTTCTTCTGTTCAACAGTGGCCGACTGCATGCACAGTTCTGTTGTAGTCGCCAACTGGTTCCTGTTCCCCTATTCATGGTGATGGTGGCATGTGTACCTAGTTGTGGCAAATGAAAATTTGCAAATATTTACAACATCTTCTCTGCTGCTACATGGTCTGTCAGGACTCAACCCACAACTGGCCTAGTCCTCCATAACTAGAATATGAATTACGCAAGAGGTACACAAAAGGAAGTATATAGGGCTGTTTTTTTGTTGTAACTCCGAGTTTCATGGCAAAAACCAATCATCAGACATGTTGTCTGATGATTGGTTTTTGCCATGAAACTCTGAGTTACAAAAAAAAAACAGCCCTATATACTTCCTTTTGTGTACCTCTTGCGTACTACGCTCTGCCCATTCCGGGCATTTGAGCACTATTGCAGGCGCACACCCTCTGTAGAATATGAACTTCGAGTTACACTTTGCTAACTTCGAATTATCAGCACAAATCCCACACATTTTCTATTTAAGTGGAGTCAGTGGAACTTCTAATTAACCGAACATGTCCGGTTCGAGACGGTTCGAATTATCAGAAATTTTTATGTGAGAATCGTATTGACAGAAATCGGTCCTGGAAAATCTTATAATTAAGCGGTATGTTCGAATTAAGCCTCCATATTCGAATTATCAGGATTCCACCAGTAATTCGAATATGGCTTACCGTATTATCTCTAATATAAGCACGGTCCTTTATTTTTTCAATGTACCTCCGCCCCGTGCTATTAATGGAGACATTCCTTTATTGGAGACTGTTCCATTATTATTTCAACCTCATTTCAGAGGCATGTTGCCATGCAAAATTCATGTCAGACACACACATTTCAGCGATTTGTCGCCGGTACAGATAATGAATTTACACAGTGTGCTTATAATGGAGACTGAGCACTTTATTTTTTGAATGCCGCCCCAAGGTGTTCTATTATTGGAGACGTGCTATTATTGGAGACTGTGCTTATATTAGAGATAATACGGTAATTCGAACATACCGCTTAATAAGAAGTTTTTCCAGGGCCGATTTCTGTCAATACGATCCGCACACGAGCAGCCCAAGCACAGCACCATCCCCACCAGCTTGAGCTGAATCTCTCACCACGAGCTCCTGATTACCTTCTGCGCTCTTTCCCATACTGCATCGTGCCAGTGTGGAATAGACTGCCACAGGCAATTCTGGACAAGCAGCTGGCTCGGAAACACCTGCAGAGCTTCAAGATTGCTGCATACCGTCACCTGCAACAGAGTGACTGGTGCTCTGCTCATGACTGGTGTTAGCCATGCACATGTATCACACTGGCCTGCCATCAGTGGACGCAAATCATTATACTGACCCTCTTCTAAAAGTAGCATTATAGTCATAGCGACGATATCCCGCAGAACTCTTTCTCTCTCTATACTTATATCTCTCCACCTCTTTCTCTCTCTTTCCCTCACTTACCCATCTCTCTCTCTTTCTCTCTCTCTCTCTCTCTCTCTCTCTCTCTCTCTCTCTCTCTTCTTTCTTGTGCACTCTCTCTCTCTCTCCCTCTCTCTCTGTCTCTCTGTCTCTCTCTCTCACACACTCTCTCTCTCACTCCCTCACTCTCTCTCTCTCTCTCTCTCTCTCCGCCATTCCTCTCGCGCCCCCCCCCCTCTCATGCATCTCACCTGCGCAGCTTATGTAGCGCCTACACACCCATTGTTGATTTTTGTTTCGTCTTCGTTTTCTCTCCCCTTCTTCCGTAGGTATGTGCAATGTGATAAAAAATTTAATTAAAACAACATAATTTTTCTGATAATTCGAACCCCGAACCCGAGACATGTCCTGTTTATTCGAAGTTCCACGGATTCCACTTACATAGAAAATGTGTGGGATTTGTGCTGATAATTCGAAGTAAGCAACGTGTAACTCAAAGTTCACTGTACACTGTACTGGTCAGTTCAGTTTGCATGAGCAGGCTATGCTGGTCAGTTCAGTATCCGTGAAATCTGTGTCTTAGGTATAGCGCAACTCTGCGTGACCATGAGAGCATTTTGATATACATGTACATAATTATTGTGTTGTGGGTTCATGTTTGGATACTTAGAATGTCCGGCTAATTAGAAGTTTTTTCCTGGCATTTCGAGGTTCGAATTATCAGGATTCCACCTGTAGTACTATTAGTATTGCAGTATAGGAGATACCAACTAACTGTTATGTTACTTACACTGGTGACGCGTCGTTTCCACTGCGACAAACACTATGTAAATAATAATGTCGT